GTCGCTTTACCCTAACTACTACCATGGTATGTGAATCGAAGTGATTGCTATGAGGAAGGTGACCGCGAACTGCTAGGGGACGCAAATATGGTCGTAGACCACACTCTCGATTACCAAACCGAGGGATACATTATAGGCTAATCAAGTGGCCCTCTCGGTTAAGGCAATCGATGGTTGACTTACTCCCTCACTCAACCCAATGGTTGGTCGGCTTAATCGCGCTTAACCAAATTGCTTAATTCAACATAGAGGTTTGCCCTACACTAACCTAGATAGGTGGCTTAAGAAGCCTTAGGAATCCCAACTCAATTGAGCCTCCCCTGAAAGGGGGGTTTTTCCCTCTTATCTAGGTTAGAATGGCCAATTAGATTGCTAAGCATAAACATGCACAATCAACATGAAAAATACCTCAATCATTGAATTAAAAAACACCCATAAACAATCATTCAATTCACATAACAACTACATGGCAAATAGTTAGGGTTTCACAACACCCAAGAGAAAAGAGGAAACTACTCCATGTTAGAAAGGGGAGAAACACAAGAGGAAGAGGTAGAAACCATCATGGTAATGCTTCCAATCTCCTTTGAGCTTGTGCTAAACTTCTCTTGGGGAGAATCTTCCCAATTCACCACTTGGAGCAAACCCTAGCCTTCTTCCTTCCTTGTTTCGTTCTTTCTCTCTCTAAAATCTGAAGAAGACACTTTCTCACTCTTGGGTTCTCCCCTTTTCTCTTCCTTTCAGCTCTCCTTTTAAATAGGGATCAGGCTCAGTTCACGGGCTCAGTTCACGGTCGTGAACTCTTGAAAGTGCCGTAAACTAAAGGTTGGCGTCGAAACACACCACTTCGCTTGCACATGTTCACAGGCAACAACTCCAGTTCACGGTCTTTGTGACCGTGAACTCGCCTAGCGTCAGATTTTTCCCTAGACGCCTTAACGGGAAACAACTCCTCTTCACGATCTTAGAAGACCGTGAACTTCCAAGGGAAACCGTGAATTGCCAGTTTTTCACCTCTACTCCCGGTTTTCGCTCCTTTTCGTCCAACTTTCAACTCCGAGGCTAGTTTCACCTGTTAAATCCTGAAACATACTAAAACACAAGAAACCTCGCGTAAAACCACCCTTTTACGAGCACAATTACCACAAATGCCTAAGAAAAACGAGGATAAAATATGTACAATTAGGCCCGAATCAATTATTTGTTGGGTGAATAAGATCCTCTCCTATTTCCCCCTAGCTAGCTATAGTCGGTGCTTGATTATAAGATCTTCATTGTTAACTTGGAATGTGGTTCTTCACTCGAGCTTAATTGATGGGAGACTTTACCTATAGTTTCGAACTTCTTTTGAAAAATGGACTTTGTCCGTCTTCGAACACTCTAGCCATTGTCCCTTTCCAATGAAATTCCATTGCAGTATGCAAGGAAAGTTAGGTCGTCCCAATGTAGAATTTTACCGTCAGCTATTGGAATCAGTGGCGGATGGAGGTGGAAGGGAGTTGGGTCCTAGGATCCCACTTTGATAAAATAAAATGGTTATATTTATGTACATACTTGTTTAATTTGGGTAGATTTAGAATTCAGGACCCCATTCATATGTAATTTAATTGTCCTAGTATTATGAAGCACACAAATAAATTAGACTATATTGGTCATATATCATTGAAAATCCCCAATTTTATAGTCCTTATTGTAAGCATTTCTAATTCTACTAAATATGTGTACAAAAACCTCCAACTATATCTAAAAAGCTCTTAGTCCAACAAATTTGTCCTATCAATATACATTTTCTTTGTGATCAAATGTGTTTTATAAAACGTTTGTGTGTATTAGATTTTGCTTGGGAACTATTTATTTTAGCTAATTATTGAAATGTTACTTTTCAATTATGAGTTACACAAAATGTAAGGTACAAATCTAATAATTAATGGTTTGATAAATGACTACTTGACTGAATATTTTTAAGAAAATTTACTTGAGAATTGAATACAATGTTATAAGATTTTTTATAAATGGGATCCCACTAAACTCGAATCCTGGCTACGCCACTTATTGGAATGTGATATTTAATTAAGGGATATTTTGCCTAGTCTCATATTTGCATTGACAAAAAAAGGTTCAATACTTGTACATATATTTAGTATAAGTACAGTTCGATGAGACTCGATTTAATTGGTACAAATGACTAAATCCATATTTCACATTTTTTGCTACCTGACGGCCGCCATCCATTAGGTGCCTAACAACCGATTAGGAGAGTTTTTTCGTTCATCGTAAAACTTGTGGTTGTTTTTCTTGTCTGTCAACCCCATACAATTTTTATGTACTTGTTGATTATCGTATGAATTATTGAAGATTAATGCTTCACCCAAATGATACTCAATCAATTTCCTTATATAAAAAATCCTATCCTACTAGTGATTTTAAAATTCTGAGTGCACCCTGGATCGGAACACCACATGAACTAGCTAGCCTAGGGCGTCACTTGGCTTAGGGTAAAGGGCAGAACAGAGAAAAATTTCAAGTCACAAAAGACAAAGGATCTGCATGAGTAAAAGGTCCCACACTCTCATACCTATATATTCATGGTTGTCCCAAATGGCATCATTGCTCTCATATATGTGATATAAGAAACAGTGATGGGTCACGAACTGACCCAGGTGGTGCAGCGCAGTGCTGTGACTTCAACTTTCTTCAATCCTTTTTCACTTTCCTTGGTCTGGTCTGGTCTGGTCTGGTCTGTTTTCCTTTTGGCCTTTTTCCAAGCAATTCCTGAGAAGCAGAGAGTGGACAGAGACAGAGACACAGCAGTCGCAGCGGTGCATTCTTAGAGCGGAAAAACGCTGTGGTAAAAGAAGTTTGGTCTCCTGGGTAAAACCGTAAAAGGCTGTCTGTTTGTCCTAAATGGTGAAATTTCATATCACTCACTAATTTTTTTTTAGGGAAACATATCACTCACTAATTAATTACTAGGGATTGGGAAGTTTTTGTAGGTCACATCGAAATATTCACATTCCAGGGATCATGTCGATCATACTGTGCCAAGTGCTGCCAACCCAATCAATGATAAAAAAAAAATATTCATTCATTCAGTGGCGCCCACCTTTGTACAATAGTTTCTTCTTTTGCAGGTCAGGTCTCGGATCCCAGTAAAAGGCCCTTCAAACTTTTCCTACTTATAGAGCCATCATGGGAAAATTCATACTTTTACTAGTAAAACAATACCAAAAATTGTAAAGATAATTTTACTGTGATAAGTTGAGACCAACTACTGAGGAATTTGAAGAGGAGCGCGAGACATGTACAGCGGGGGGTTGAGTTTGTTTAAATGTTGGGTTTACTACTTTTGAATATGCAGTTTATCAAATTCTATGTTAATGACGACTGACGAGAGATGTATGTTTTGACAAAATTGTTAAAATGGTAATGTCGATATGAGTTTATGTAGGGTGTTCAAATGGTTATTATGGTTATTACCAAACCAAATAAGTCTAAATTTCATTAACCATGGAATACAATATCATAACCAAACCGTCCAAACTAATACAACAACCAAATAACCAAACTAAAGTTTAATCGGTTTGGTTAATTGGTTAACCAGATTAACCAATATAAAATCACATTATCATTAAGTGAGAAATTTTTCGGTTAATTTATCAATTCACAATTTATATAATGAATAAAACATAACAATCAACACATAGTTATAGTTGACCCTTAACATAAATACATGCAACTAAGACAATTATCTTATGGTTAGTATAGAAGTATTCACCTAACAAAAATTTATCACAATGGTATGAGTTAATGAATTGTTGTGTTTGTTTGAATTGACTTAGTCTTTTAGCAATTTTCATAGGTTGAAAAGGACCTTGCTTTCAAGTTTTCATCCAACATAATGTATGAGATTTATCTAAACTAGGCATTCATATGTTGTGGTCTACATATACAAATATCAATTATAGGAACTGTTGGTTGAGTCGAGCGCGAGACTCAAGTGTCAATCTCCTCTGGTTCTTTGATTAAATGGAAATCTGAAAACCCTAATTTCGATTTCGACAAAGCCAAGTGAAGAAGATGGAATGAACTGAAAAACCAATCGAGGGGAAAAGTAAAGAGACTTCTCTTTTTGGTGTTTATCAAAACGACAGCGACTCTGGTGATTAATCTCGAAGTGGGTTGGGCTGAGGTTGTTATCAGATTGCCACTGTTAAACTGGCCCAATTCACTTGAGTACAGCACTGCGTTTTGAGAACACAGTTTCCTTCTTCTTTGCTCGAACAGATAGATCAAACCTTGTTCTGCACACAACTCACACTCGCACCAAATCAAGAACTCTGATAAGAACTGGAAATAAAATGAAACGTAGTAAAAACACAAGTAAGCTCGGACACGATATTTTTACGTGGTATCTGATACTGATGAATTCAGTATCGACTAATCGACGATCAAAGGTACTCTGCTTGAGTCCTTTGACGTTATACTATGTTCTGTGATTTCGGATTACACAGTACAGCTTTGATCTCTCAATGACTCCCTGTCACTCTGATCATAATCACTCTGAACCTACAGCTCCCTGCTGCAATTCGAACTAAACCCAACCTTTCAAGCTCTCTCCCCGACAGCTCACTCCTCTAATCAAAACCCCGACAATACTCTTTTGCTCCTGATTTGATTCTCTTGAAAAGGATACCGCTATATACCCAACCCTTTCACTCTTTATACATACATTCTCCTAGCCGTTAACCCTCACACTATCAATTAGGCTGATTCTGCTTTAACCCTGATTGAAGACACCTTCCTTAATTATTTTACCGAGAGTGGAATTTCCTTTTCGATCATTTTCCTCAGGTTTCCTCAATTGGAGCCTGACACAAGCTTGCCTTCTTCCAACATTCACCCCCTAAGCTTGTCAGTGGCTCTACTCAGCAAACTGCACACATTGAACAAACCATGGGTGCAGCCTGTCCAAACACACTTGTACACTTGTTGCACTGAAAAGGAAATTCATTCATTTATTCTTCTTTCAAATCAATAACCGAGAACATAAATCCAAAGACTCGACAAACAGCTCAGAAAGATCAAAAGATAATGTCCTAAGGTTCAACTCAGCCTTCAAAGTCATTGCTCAAAACGGATAGCTAGGAGGTGAAGCATAGCCTGAAACCCTATCCTCATCACCAGAGTCTGAATCTGGAGTAATCGGATCATTGATCTGATTTGACTCATATACAAAATTTGGTAACATCAAATCCTTTTCAAGCATTAGCTTCCGCTTTGGGCCACTCTTGGTAGTAGCGTCTTGTTTACATGCTGGAGCAGCTGTATTAACAAGAGCCGAAGAAGCGATCTGTTGATGACTATTCACTCCCCCTGAGCTAGTGACAGGCTTACGGGAACCAACTAATGCATCAAGGCGAACAATAACGTGCTGAGGACGCAGATCATCCAAAACATCACAGACAATAACTTTATCACGTAAGCCAATGCCTAGACGATATAGGAACCGCGTGATTTGAGGACCAAAAGGCAATGGACCACCATAGTAGTCACGCCCAAACTTAATCATGTGCTGGAACATGAGGGAGGAATAACTAATGCGACGACCAGCTCGCGCATTAAAGAGGATCCAAAGGTCAGGAGAATGGATGAGATCAGTGTTGCCCAGATCACGAGGCAGGAACCAGCGCGTGAGAAAGAAGAACAACACCTTGAGATCATCTGGAAACTTGCCGGCATCGAGTTTGAATGGAAACCATCGACCTATGTCACGAGCCAAGGACTCAAGAGCATGATCAAACCGGAAGCCAGATTGATAGAACTCCCTGTCTGTGCCAGCCTGAATCCCATTATGAGGAAGGTCCAAGACTGACGCCAGCAACCCAGGCGTCACTTTAATCTCATAGTCATAGACTAGTGTGGTGAAGGAATCAGGATTACTCCCAGGACCACATCTAAGATTAACATAGAAGAGACGAACAGCCTCAGGACACTGACTGAATCGCATATTTGTGACCAGAGACTCCCATCCTATATTCTTAAGATATGCAAGTATATTCATATCATATTTGGAGAAGGTAGTAGGCTGAATGGAGAAGGAAGGATAGAGAGGTCGATCACGAAAACTACGAAGATACCTAGAATAGGTAGCAGCATTGCGAAAGCTTTGATTTTTGAACAGAACTGACAACAGCAGCCGAAGATTGTTAAGAGCCATTTTTGAGGAGTTGAGTATGTTTTCGTTACGTGTACCAGAGAGTGTGTGAGGCAGTGGGAAAGAATGAAGAGAAGGAAGAGATGGGATTAGGTTTATATTCAGAAGACTGCATTAAATCAGGGAAACTCTTCGGATGGAAGGGAAAGAATCAGAAGATGAGTGGAGCAAATCAATGAAAACAAGGCAAGAGAATATGTTAGGTGCAATCAAATCACATTAATGTCTTCTTGAGTAAACATGCCAAGTTCATTTCAAATTGGTAAGAATTTTGCAGCACCTAAAGGTTTAGTAAAGATATCAGCCCATTGCATTTCCGAGTTAATGAATTCTAAATGAATTTTGCCATCTTGGACGAGATCACGAATAAAGTGATAGTGAACTTCGATATGTTTAGTTCACGAGTGCTGAATAGGATTTTTTATCATGTTTATAGCACTCGTGTTATCACACAAGATGGGGAAGGATCCTATACTAATACCATAGTCCTGAAGTTGATACTTCAACCATAGTAGTTGAGGACAGCCTAACCATGCTGCAATATATTCTGCCTCGGCAGTTGATAATGCAACAGAGCTCTGCTTCTTACTAGCCCAAGAAATGAGTGACGTGCCAAGAAAATGACACGTTCCAGATGTACTCTTTCTATCAGTTATACAACCAGCATAGTCAGAATCGCTATACCCTAGTAATTCAAGACTTGATTCACACGAATACCACAACCCAAGAGAGACAGTACCACTGAGATAACGAAAAATACGTTTTAATGCAGTTAAATGACTAATCTTAGATTACTTTGAAAACTGGCACAAGCACATACACTGTACATTATGTCAGGTCTACTGGCAGTTAGATAAAGAAGAGAGCCAATCATTCCTCGATATAATTTATCACTAACTGGTTCTCCTGATTCATCCAAGGAAAGTTTTACTGTAGAACCCATTGGTGTAACTGCAGATTTCAAATTCTTAAGGTCAAAACGTTCGAGCATGTTGTTCAAGTATTTAGTTTGACTAATAAAGGTGCCTTTGCTAGTCTGCTAAACTTGCAGACCCAAGAAATAAGTTAGTTCTCCCATTAAACTCATCTCAAATGCCCCTTTCATTACTGACTCAAACTGTTTACGCATCTTTTGACTAGAAGAACCAAAAATTATGTCGTCTACATATACTTGAACAAGCATAGTATGACCATTTAGGCTTTTGATGAATAAAGTTTTATCTACAGAGCCTCTACGAAAGCCATCCATTACCGAGCCTCTATGAACAGAGCCTCTAAGAAGTTACTGAGTTTATCATACCAAGCCCTAGGAGCTTGTTTTAAACCATAAAGAGCTTTGTTCAGTTTATATTATAGGTGTCAAAACATGACCCGACCCGAGTAACCCGCCCAACCAACCCGATCCGCGACCCGCCCGCAACCCGATTGGACTAAAGGTCAAAGACCCGCAACCCGCTTGACCCGCAACCCGCTTGACCCGAACCCGATTGACCTGCAACCCGCTTGACCCGCAACCCGCTTGACCCGTAACCCGACTAACCCGAACCCGATTAACCCAACCCGAACCCGCCCGATTGGCACGAATAATACTACATAATATATTTTGTGCATAAATATTATATGTAGATAATATATATATATATATATATATATATATATATATATATATATATATATATATATATAAAGTTTATGTGACTTGCCTATTATTTTTTCATCTTTCCCACCAAGAACAAAAGTTTACTATGTGTTGACAAATGAAAACTGCCACTAAATTTTAAAATAAAAAGTTGGATTGTAATTAATGGTTTAGTAAGACCATCCTTAAAATTTATTTTATGTCAACGTATACATACAATTCACTCAATGTATAGCATAGTTAGTAAAATACGGTACGGGAAAGTTACGTATAAAATACTTACGGGTATTATACTTTGTCTCTTAGTTAATGTTACGTTTAATAGTACGTTAATAGTTATAAATATATAACTATTCAACAACATGTTATAAGAACACATAACATACCAAACTAATAGTCTAGTATGTTAGATAACATGCTCAACAACGCATTCACGAGTTTAAGTGCAATACTCACATCACATCGTTGAATATGAGTTACTCTATAGTTTTATATCAATTCAATAGCGTAATAACTTTTAAATATTAGTATATACATTTCAAAAAATTACCCAGTCATGTCAACACTATCTATTTCATGCCAACATTATATGATTCACGCACATTCATCTCTGAAAACGCCAAAACCATATGATTCACGCCAATACCCATCTGATACACGCCAACACTATGTGATTCACGCAAACACATTCTCATTCACGTCAACACTATGTGATTCACGCCAAAACAACCTGACTCACGCAAATGGATCGCCATTCACGCCAATATTAATCTGATTCACGCATATTCATGTAGGGACATGCCAAAACTATATGTCACGCCAATACACATCTAATTCACGCACATTCATTTGTGAAAACGCCAAAATCATATGATTCACGCCAATACTCATCTGATTCACGCCAACATTATGTGATTCACGCAAACACATTATCATTACGTCAACACTATGTGATTCACGCCAAAACAATCTGACTCACGCAAATGGATCGCCATTCACGCCAATATTAATCTGATTCACTCATATTCATGTAGGGACATGTCAAAACTATGTCACGCCAATACACATCTAATTCACGCACATTCATCTCTGAAAACGCCAAAACCATATGATTCACGCTAATACCCATCTGATTCACGCCAACATTATGTGATTCACGCAAACACATTCTCATTCACATCAACACTATGTGATTCACGCCAAAACAATCTGACTCACGCAAATGGATCGCCATTCACGCCAATATTAATATGATTTCACGCATATTCAATCTCATCCACTATATTCAAATAAGATCAAGGAAAAGTTCTTGTCTCTAGATGTGCCAAGAGACCAGACTCAAAGATCAATAAGGTATAACTATTCAACAACATGTTATAAGAACTCATAACATACCAAACTAATAGTCCAGTATGTTAGATAACATGCTCAACAACGCATTCACGAGTTTAAGTGCAATACTCACATCACATCGTCGAATATGAGTTACACTATAGTTTTATATCAATTCAATAGCGTAATAACTTTTAAATATTAGTATATACATTTCAAAAAATTACCCGGTCACGTCAACACTATCTATTTCACGTCAACATTATATGATTCACGCACATTCATCTATGAAAACGCCAAAACCATATGATCACGCCAATACCCATCTGATACACGCCAGCACTATGTGATTCACGCAAACACATTCTCATTCACGTCAACACTATGTGATTTACGCCAAAACAATCTAACTCACGCAAATGGATCGCCATTCACGCCAATATTAATCTGATTCACGCATATTCATGTAGGGACATGCCAAAACTATAAGTCAAGCCAATACACATCTAATTCACGTACATTCATCTCTGAAAACGCCAAACCCATATGATTCACGCCAATACCCATCTGATTCACGCTAACATTATGTGATTCACGCAAACACATTCTCATTCACGTCAACACTATGTGATTCACGCCAAAACAATCTGACTCACGCAATGGATCGCCATTCACGCCAATATTAATATGATTTCACGCATATTCACGGGAAACACACTTACAAATACGGGATTTCCAGTGACTAAAGGATCTTTTTCTTGTAGTGATTCTATTATATTTGATTAAACATCATGTAATGATCTCAACTATCAAGACTCAAGAGATTGTTTCATAGGTTTATGATCAAGTAAGTTGTCAGTTTTTTAATTTCTTATGTTGGTTTTGTAACCTTAATGAATCCTCTGCAACATCAAACTTGTTTATGATATATTCAAGCAAAATACAGTCACTCATTTGTTTAATAATGTTTCTTCATATTTTTTTCATTGCAATATGATGATCAGTGAGTTTGTTTTAAATTATTGTAATAACTAATTATAAAAAAAATTCGATGGTTTGGATCGAACAACCCGCAACCCGACCTGTTGTAACCCACAATCCGATCAACCCGAACCCGATTGATCCGCAACCCGATCAACCCGTAACCCAATTGATCCGCAACCCGATCAACCCGAACCCGATCAACCCGCAATCCGATCAACCCGCAACCCGATCAGCCCGCAACCCGATCAACCCGAACCCGTTTGACCCGCAACCCGATTAACCCGTGACCCGACTGAACCCGACCCGAACCCGCCCGATTGACACCTATAGATTAGGGAATTTTTGATTTTCAAACCCAGGAGGTTGAGCAACATAAACTTCTTCTTTCAAATCTCCATTGAGGAAAGCACTTTTGACATCCATCTAATAAAGTTTAAATCTTTGAGATGCAGCAAATGCACACAACAACCTGATGGCTTCCAGTCTAGCTACAGGAGCAAATGATTCATCGAAGTCTATTCCTTCCTCCTGATCATGCCCCTATGCTACTAGTCTAGACTTGTTTTTAGTTATATCACCAATTTCATCAGTTTTATTCTTATAGACCCACTTGGTTCCAATTATAGGTTTATCCTCAGGTTTTGGAACAAGTTCCCAAACATTTAATCTTTCAAAATACCCCATTTCATCTTGCATAGAAGCTGTCCAGAATTCATCATTCAGAGCCTCCTTAATGTTCTTAGGTACTAACAGATACACAAAAGCAGTATGCACATTTGACAGTTTAGATCGAGTAACCATACCTTCTCTCAAGTCACCTATAACCTGAGATGGTGGATGCCATTTTTGAATGTCCAGAGGTACTTCTTTGACTCTGTTTGTATTAGTTTCTGGCATTTCTCCTTCACCTGTCTGTACTTGTGACCCTTCATTCCTTATCTCCTGTTCAGCTTGTTACTTGACTGGGTTTATGTGATCTTCCTAATCTAAGATCATCATCCTCATCGATTTGATCTGCACACTTACTAGGAGAATCATCAAATACCACGTTTATGGACTCCTCAACTTTGAGGGTCCGTTTATTGTATACCCTGAAGGGTCTGCTATGAACAGAA